CTCATTTGGAAAGCCTTTCATTCTAACGGGCCCGGCCAATTCCTACAGCGTATGAAAATGAAGAGAAATATCAGCAATCTTTTTTTGGTAGACAAAAACCTGTGCCAAAGGTGGAATGTGGGCCTCTCAATAAGCAAGTAAGAAGAAATTGAGGACACAACATCCCAGGTGAGTTCCATGACGCTGTTGTGGCGGTAGCGGAACACATCTGCAGTATCTCACTGTCTCTAGCTAGCGACGCTCAATCGCTCTCAGCCTCAGTTTGCTGTCTTCAAGCAAGGGATACAGACGTTTGTTTACCTTATGGGGTTGTCATGAGACTTATATGTGACCATGTTAAATCATTCAGCCAAGTTTCGAACCTAGAATTGGTTCAAATACTATTTTTCTTTTTCCCCACATCCACCGACTTGTTCTCTAGGAAAATGCAAAGCTGCTTCAGACAAACTAAAATGGGTTACTTTGGGAACTGCAAAGGCCCTGCCTCCCTCTCTGGCCCATTTGGCATACTGAAGTGAATGATTAAGAATGACCCCTTGGTAGGCATATGCTTTGCTTTGTCTCTTTAGCCAGAATCTTGTCCTTGACTCTGTCCAAACCAAAACAAACTGGAAAGGAATCTGTTTCTCCATGGCCATTAGTAGAAAAGTGTCCAGATAAACTTCTGAGTGTTTATCAGCTAGAAATAATATTTGGCTGTTTGCTAGTAATAAAAAGCTAAAAATAGTGGATTCAATCAACTAGTAGTTTTATTTTTCTCACAATAAAATGGGCAATAAAATCTTTGCCTTCATGATAGCAAAACCCATGTTCCCTTTCTCTTTCTGCTTAGCCTGCCTTGGCAGGTGCTTGCAACTTCATAGTCACATGACGGTCAACCCACCTTCACCGCGGGCCTCTGGGAAGGGGATGTGAGGGCCACTGGGATAAAGGCAAATGCCAGAGAATAAGACCCAAGAAAATGCCCTATAATGTCCACCACCCTATAGCTCCACCTGTGCAGGCCATCAGAACTTTCTGCATCTAAACTATCCAAGATGGCAGCTACCAGCCACCCGTGACAAAGCACATTTAATACGAGACTGGAGTGACTGAGGAAATGAATTTGTAAGTTTACTTCATTTTAACGCATTTAAGTAGCCACGCGTGTCTAGTTGCCATCCTGCAAAGGCCATGCCTTTGTCCCGCGCCACTCCCGGGCAAGTAAAGCTGGGAATGTGGGCTTTGGGCTGAGTACAGAGCTCCCTTCCTCCCACAAAATTCTGGTCTTCTTTAGTGAGGAAAAACAAGCACATGAATAAAGGCGAGGCAAATGGCAGTCTTCCTCAACAGAGCGCTCGTGGCACGCTACCATTCCTTAAACCTCACGCAAAGGCATCCCAGTGGGGTGATGGCAAACCTGAGGTGTGGTGTGGCTGGGCAGTAGTAGTCTGGGCGTTCAGGGAGGCAGCTGAGACTGAGGAGGGTGACTGCGAGGCTGGACGAAGATAGATGGGATACATCTGCTTGGAAATATTAGCTAACAGCCGCCTTCGTGTTCTTTAACAAAACACCTTTGGTTAGGCCGACCCTCGAGTAGTGCTCTCCCTGCTGTTTCAACGTGCGATGGAACGCTAGAGGGGCTGTGGCGCCACCTACTGGTAGTAAGGGCACAAGGCGCCCTGAGCCTCGAGGCTGGCCGTGTCACAGGCGGCTGGAGGCCAGGTAGAATGGCAAGCGGTGGAAGGTGTGTGCCCGGCGTCAGCTTGGAGCTTGGTGTCCTGCGGGTAACTCTGGACACTCAGCATGTCAGCAGGGCTTTCTCAGCGCATTGCTCTCTGCTTTCCAGTAATAACCCACTGCAGGCAGGCAAATATAGAAAATCAGAGGAAGACAACTCCGTCAATTTTCAAAATCACATGAAATAGGGGGAAAAATACATTTTTTAGCTATAAATAACCCTGGAGTGAGATTCAAGGCTTTTATTTGATCCAAAGCCTCAAAAATAAATCCTGTTATTCATGGCACTCCCTGGACTAGCTGAGTATGTGACCATCCTGCAGTCAAAGGGGAAAAAGAAAAACAAATTCAGTTTCAAAACAAAATGCTCACCCTGACTCATTCGGGGAAGGATCCATGGTTTTTAGTGCAGGGCACTGACTGTTTTTTTCCTTTCATCATCTGCTATCCTTAAAAAAATGGTATCAACTGCACTGGTAAGAATCCACATTTCTTCCCTCTTGTTCCCTGGCTCCGAGCCAGCATCACACTTGTCACACTGATGGGTGGGGTGTCTTTCCTATTGGCACAGGACAGTGAGCGATGCCTCCCCTTATGTTATCAGAGACCCAGCAAGTGAAGCTCGCCAGCGGAGAGCCTCCTCTGCGGCTCGGGAACACCCGTGGCACCGTGGCTCTGGCTTGGCTCTAGACCCTTCTGATGATGGCTGTAGAACCCAGCAGCTCAGAGTCCGCGAGAAGGAGGATTGGAAGGAGGTGAGTGATGCAGATGAGGCGATTTTGATACCCTGGTTGCTGCAGGGACCCCGGCCGGTGAGCAGGTGGCCGTGGGCAGTGATGGTGACCAGCGCTCGGCGGCTGGTTGTATGTCCATTCCGAGAGATGAGTTGTTGATCTCAGCGGAGAGGCAGGAGTGAATTCCGACTTCAGTGCCGTGTAAAGCACCTCAGAGTTCACCTTCAGTGTCATGCCTTAAGGAAAAAAAGCCAACTTTCTGGCACACGGCTGCACGTGTGTTCTGCACACTGGTTGTGGGGCGACTGTTTGTTTCTAATTAGGGCGCCAGCGCCTGCTGGCAGAGGAAACCATATTCGTCACAAGTTGTGTTTTGTTTGTGTGTCTGTGTTTTTAATGCGGGTGGGGGTAGAGCTGACTGTACTGGCTTCTTCCTCTGGGCAGTGTTTCTTCTGCTTGGTGCTGTCAGGCTCATTTCTTCGTTATTCCTCAGAGCCTTGAGTTCACACACCCTGATCTCCTCTCAGCTGGTTGTAGCCGCTGCTCTGGCCATTTGCACCTTCCAAACTGCAGGGTTGTTTTGGTTTTTTTTGAATAGAAGAAAAGAAGCTTGGGCATTGTTGAGAAGACGCAGGGGGGTTATGGAGTGCCTAGCAGATTGCCTGGATAGAGATGGAGTGGAGCACATCTTAATTCCTTTTCTCTCAGCTATAAAACAAGAAGTATGTTTTGTCCGAAGGCACTTTTAAAAATGTCACTTAACCAGTATTTACTGACTGTGCCAAGTGACAGATGTCGTGGCCAGCACTGGGGTTACAGTCACGAGCAAGACAAGAGAACAGACCAGGCCCGGCCTCATGGAACTTAAATACCAGAGCACACAATCAACATCCAAGGGAATTCATGATGACTTTTCTTTAGTCCAGCTCAACCGCAGAGTTCATCTCCGAGGACACTTCCTTCTTAAACCTGGAAGGCAGAGTTTCTGAGTGAATATTGTCACATTTAGTAAACAGATGTGACTTTGTTGTCTAGTATTCATGCCCCTTTGCTGGTTGGGGGCCCTGGATTTCTTTTGGGGAGCCATCGCTGTGGCTCACTCTCAGTGGTGGTGGATCAGGTGAGAGTTCCCCCTGCTCCGAGGGCCTGAGGGCAGAGGGGTGGAGTGCTCCCAGACCCTGCCTGCCAGCCCATCAGTTACCCTCAGGTCTGAAGACCACAGTGGTTGGACTGCACTTAACCCGGGACCTAAGTTTATCCAATCAAAGTGAATGAAAGATTTCTGGAGGAGCTGCAGTGCATAGGCCAGCTCCCTCAGAGCTCTGCTGAGCGTGTTCAGTGACATCTTACTTCTGAGGGGCTTGAAAGGCAGCCTGGGGGAAGAAAAATGTTAATTTGCTTTCTTTCTGAAACTTTTCCATTGGCTCCCAGAGCCTTCCTGACTGCCTCCACAGAACCTTCCCGTGCCTCCTCCTTCCCGTGCCTCCTCCTCTCTCCCCTGCTGTTTCTTCTTCTCTGGCCTTCAGTTGAGTGCTCTGTGCTTGATGAAAACTGCTGGCCAGGAACCTCTTCATGTGAAGAGCGGTGATGACAGGTCCGCCTCAGGAGGGAGGAAAGGCCTCTGTCCCACTCCCACTGGGGCCAGCCTCCGCCACCTCCCATGGCAGTGAGAGCCTTCTCTGGAACTTACAGGCTTTCAAGTCCATTTTGTGATTTTGACAAATCCTATATGCACACACGGTAAAGTCGTCTCGTTTATCAACTGTTGCAGAAACAGACAAAATTTACAGCGGACCCCTCCATCCACGCATTTGACTTGAATTCGACTACTGTTTGGAACAGGAAAGCTGTGCTCGCCTAAAGCGCATCATAGCGCACGCCGGTTACCCCTTACTAATGAGAGCATTTGTGTCTGTTTTTTTAAAAAAGGTTTATTTATTTATATATACAATAACTGGGGGGGAGGGCAGGCCAGAGGTGTGAGGGGTGAGAGGATTCACCGGAGACAGTGGGGAGCAGAACAAGCAGGTAGACCCCAAAACGCTGTTGAGGGTTGCAGCGCCAGGGTCAGGAGAGGTCTGCAGAGCCATGTGGGGCAGCTCCCTGCAGGGATGGAAGTTGAGGTGCGGTGGCTGCTGACAGCTTCATAGTGCTGTGCTTTAACCGTTCGCGCCACCAGGGAGAGCCCGTCTGTGTCTATTTTTAAATAAAGGTACTCCCCAAGCTTTTTTTTTGATCTTATACATATTTGTGAGGTGGTTATGTTCAAGAAAACATTATGGGGTGAAAAAGACCTCGCTGTCCATTTATTTACTAAAAAATAATTCTAGGACTCCGACCCTGCGTCTCTCGTTGACACGGGCGGGCCCCTGGAGGTGAGCTATAGCTATACAAATTAGGGTGGCAGTTGAGCATCTCTCCAAGAAGTTTCCTTGGATGTGCGGAAAGAAGTATCACTTCCACCCCCTCCTCATGTTACCGCTGTGCCCTGGAGTGGAGCTGAGGTCCCAGCACTTGGCGAACTGAGCTACAAGGAGTGTCCTCCCGACGCACCCCCGTCCGGGGCGGGGCCTTGGGCTGCGTTCCCGGGGCAGGGCTTGCCGCCGCCGGAACCCCCCAGGGGGCGCTCGCGCGGAGGTTTCCGAACTAGTATCTCGCGGGTTGCTGGGCGCGTGGGTTTCGTCAGAAGGTGGAAATCTCTCTGAGAAGCTGCCATCTCCCCGCCACCCGCTCGCGTGCCCTCCTCTTCCTTCCTGCCTCCTTCCCTTCCTCCCTTCCTCCCTCACTCCTCCACTCCCCCCGTTTCCACACTGCCTTCCACTTTACTCTCGGAGTTAACTGAGCCGAGCGGCTACCTCCTACATTTTCACCCTTTCCCCCGCACCCCCCTCTCCAAGAATGGAGTCAGGGTTTCCGGGGAGACCAAACTCTGCTCTCAGCATCTTTTCCATCTGCTGTTGCTAAACTGGCCTCAGAGGACGAGGGGGGAGGGAAGTCCGACCCCCTTTACACCACTACACAATTGCAACACCTCTACTCCAAAGCCGGATTTTGCATCCTGGGGGCGGGACAGACCTCTTCCCGGGCCGAATTCTCTTTTACTGTTCGAGGTTGGCACACCCAGGTAAGTAAATGCCAACTCTGCATTCCTGTGTTCTTGGGGCGCTGTGATTGCAAAGTCTGTTGGGGGTGCTGCGTAGCAAGACCAACTTTTGAGAATGCACTGGTTTTCGCTCTTATTTGCTTGTTTATTGTTGCTGCTGTTGTCTGAAGAAGCGACTGCAAGCATAGTCTTTAATCCAAGGGAACTTTCACCCCTATAGCTCCCCTGGCATTTCCCCAACTCTCCCAGGTGGGGTGGGGAGCAGTGGCTTGCTGAGGAAGCCTGCAGAGGGGGGGCCTGCAGCGCCCCAAGGCGGGTGGGGAAGTCCTGCTGGGGTGTGGGGGGGCTGACGTTATTGTTTTGGAAATTGGGGAGGGAGAAGGTAGCAAGTCCTGGCTGAAGTTGCAGCTTCCCCTGTCACGCTGAGGAAGCTGAGGAAGCTGTGGGAGATTGTGGCGCTATCCCTTGACTTGACCTAGCTGTGGCTGGATTCAGCCTCTCAACCTCCTCCCCCAACCCCACTTACAATGCACTGGGGCTCTCGGGTTTTAAGCCGGAGATGCAAATCCCTTGATGGAGCCAAGTGCCTCAGATCTCCTTCCTCTTAAATAAAGTAGCCAGGGACGAATGGGGAGGAGGGTTGGATTTAAGAGGTGGGAGGTTCTGTGTGGGGTCACAGATGCCCCAGGATTCTCAGGGCAGGATCTGAGACAATTAGGAGAAGGTGGTCTACACCCAGTGAAGTCGGTGCTGTTTAGCGCCGGGTGGGGAGCAGGCTGAACCCGGAGAAATACTCTTAGAGAGGTATACTCCTTCCTCTTGAAGCAAGTGGGTGGCCTTTAAGGCTCCAGTCTCCATGCTGCCCTTCGGGTATGATTGCCCCCTACCTCCCCTTAGCCCTTGCTGGACTGGCATCCAGTGCCATAACTTGTCAGGCTCCTGGAAAAAAATCACTGGCTGTTAAGGTGATCCCTGGGGTGATACCTTCAGAACTGCATGCTTTGGGGGTTTTAGGGATGGGGGGGAGGAAAGAGGAGCAAAGTAGTGGGCTGGAATAGGGGGGGAGATTGTTCTAAGGAAACTTTGCAAGGGCAGTATCCTATACAATGGTTAACCCCCTCTTGCCTCCCCCTTCCCCTCCCCCTTCCCCTCCCCCCCTCCACTGACCCTCTGATCTGATGTCACAGGATTTCTGTGGTCTTTGGGGGCAGATCTTCCCACCCCCACCCTACATACATTCTTTACACCTATGTTCAAAACTGTGCAAAACCATCTCTTCATCCTCTTGCTGTTTTGCCAGGCATTTGAAAAGCCCAACAACACTGCTCCGCTTGTGCTTGGCTTGCTTGGTTTTCAGTTTCCTAAACAGCATTTGGAGCTGTCCAAGGTACTTAAAATGTTCTTAAACGCTACTCTTGAGGGGAAACATTTTTACTTCAAGTGAAATATTCTTTTTGCACAATCCTTCCTTCTACTACTCTTTCAACAGTCTGTATTTTCAAAGACATTTGTGTTTTATGTTTTTCTGTATGTCATACCAACCCCCTCCAAAAAATACTTTTCTAAAGGATAGGTGTTTTGAGTCCATGACAATTTTTTTGTAGCTGGTATGCACTGGTTAAAGTGTGGAGCACCTTCTGTTCAAGAGCCAGAGGCAAGCAACAAGTTTATCTGTTTTATTTGTGATGCCCTTTACGTTTAGGAAGGTCCCATTGCTTTTTATTACTCAGCTGATAAGGCAGAGCTCAGGATGGCTACTGCTATGATTGGATAACTTCAGGTGTTTTCCTTCCCCTTGCTGAGCTACCACTTCTAGGTTAAGTTCATTTTATTTGCCTGTTCATTTTAAAGAAATGACAAGTCACTCTAGTAGATCAGAGGTTGAGCTCAGAGTAGGTCAAAGTGCCCGCATGTAGGGAGGTGGATAAAAATAGGAGACTTGGCAAATACAGAAAGGACACCTGTGTTAAAATGCATAGTACTAAAGGCCACAATCTTCTCTTTTATTTCTGATGGGAAGATTCTGACAACTTCATAGATTCAAACCACATCAGAGTAGGTGATTTCCCCTGGCTATTACATAAAAGCAAGTATGCAGGAGGGAGCAGCTTTGAATGAATTGGGTGAGAAGAGCTTGCCTGTAATGGAGCCAAGGGTCATTTGTGTGTCCCCATGTGAAAACTCACTTACCCCTTTGAGAGTGTTTGGCCTCCCTAACGTTCTTCCAGACACTACCTGCATACTTTACTGGGAGCAGACCCGGGTGGGGTCCAGTGAGTTTCCTAGCGTGAGATCACCACTTTATTAGGGCTCCTAAATATTGCTTTAAAAGTGGTTGTTCTGAAGTTTTGTAAATTGCTTATAAATTGTACTCAAAGACTTTCTGTTTATCTCCAGGTCTCTTGGTAGCAACATGGCATTTTGCTGGAGTCAGTGGTTTATCTTAAGGAGACCCTGTTTCTAGAGATTTTTAATTAAAGGATAGCTTATACTACAGCATTTCTGGATCTGCATGTAGATTTCTGATTTAAAAATGGCCTCCTTCTACTTAGTAGGAAGCAAAGATGTTAGCTGTTTCCGGATAAGTCTTACATGGCATGCTTCCCATCATCAGCTGACTTGACTCCACATTAGTGACTGAAAACCTTAAGATCATACAGTTAAAGAAAATAATCACAGAGAAAAACATGGATTGATGGGTGAGTCTGTATTCTCACCTGTCTTTGAATCCTTTGGAACCCAATTGAATATGTTTATATGGTTTGCACCAACCTTTCTCTCTCCATGTTCCACGTGCTTTGAACTACTCTGTATCATTATGGCCTTTATTTGCATCAAAATGCACTTTTCCACTTGGAGGGAAGGATATTGGAGTCGAACATGCATGTTGTATGTGGCCAATGCCCTCCTCCCCCCATTCTGAGGGGTCTGAACCCAGAGGGGAAGGAGAAGAGCATTATCCTGACCACCCTGGAAAAAGTCTTGATACTTGTTGGGGAAGTCACTTCCGAGTCTTTGTATATTTCATCAGAGATGGTCAGATCTTTTATTTCACCAATTTTGAAGTGAGAAAGGGCTATATTTGTTCTCTATGTTTGATCTTTCCACTTTGTCTTGTTAATATTTTAAAATACAACCAACAAAAGCCCCTATGGATCCACATGGAAACCCAAGTGTATTTCCTTAGCAACAGTAGCCAGTACTTTGGAGTCACAAACTATCAAGAGAGAAAATTTGAAATGTATTTAAAATACAATGTCACATGGTTCAAGACCATCCTATGGTGCATTTGAATTGGCCTTCCTGCTTATAATAACAGAGTCACTCTTGACTCTGCTCTTCTCCTGACTGAATGTAGATGATAAAAAGCAGATTACAGGACTTGACTGCTTAGGAAGTCTGAACATTTTCGTAATGACTTTCTTTCTAGGGAAGCATGTGATAAAAATAAACTGGGTTGCAGTTACAAATCATTGCATAAGGTGTTTATATACATGGAGGTTGGTGGTAAGTCCAAAATAAGTTCAGTACATGGGTCAGGCAAGATATACTCTGTTTTCTATGTTGTTTAAAATAGACAACACCTGGCAAGATGATAGCAGTTAGCGTTAAATTCAGTCAGTGGATATCCTCTAAAACTGACTGCAAAATGAAAACACAATCGCGTCTTCGTATAATTTCAGTCTTTCCTGTACTAGACATCTCATTGATGTGGGAACTTTTTGTTTAGTCTGTGAGCTGCTATCTCTATCTCTATCTATATATCTATATCTGTATCTGTATCTATCTGTATTTATATCTATATCCATGATATATAGTATTTGTCTTCCCTAAGTTGGCAAATCCTGGAAAGTTCTTTATTCGACTGCTGTGTTCTTAGGGAAACCTCTTGAAAACCAATAGCTTTTTGCCCAGTAAATATTGAGGCAAGTCTTATCAAGACAGGTCTTGAAAAGCGGAAAGTGGCAAAGAGGCCTGATTTAGAAAGGTTTATTCTGCTCCCCCGATTTTAGGGTACTCTTGAGCGTGGGGAGGCCCGCTGGCCCGTGGGGGGCTCACCTCTAGACTGTGAGCACTGGCTATTACTGCATCTGTGACTCTCAGAGCTGGAAGCGAGCTTGGGGATTTTTTATCAACTCTAGCTGTTTAATTTGACAGATGCGGAATCTGAACCGCTGAGAGGTGACTGGCTCGTGATCAGGGGCTACTCAACAAAACTCCTGCTTACTACTCTCACGAAGTTCCTTGGAGATAATTACTGTGGTGGCGCCAAGCTCTGGCGCCATGAGTACTGATAATCTTTACTGAGTCGGGTGTGGGGGGACTCCCACCTCCACGGGGGTGTTTGGAGGAGCCGACTTGGGACTTATTACATTGCTCTCTCTTGGAGCCAGTGCAATATTTACCCAATAGATGTGATTAAATTTGTACAAAGTCGTCTGCAGCCATCTCTGTTAATGTGTATGTTTTGCAAAGCAGAATCACTCATGCGCAGTCTTAGCATTCTATTTTAAATGTCACTATTGAGTCAATAAAGTAAACAAAGCAATTTTATGAGTGTTTACTGTTCTAGGAACTCATGGGGGGACCGTTTTTTCTTTAATTAAAGGTCCACTCAGAATGAGCAAACTTTCTAAAATGTTGGTTATGCATCTCTGGCTTAGGACACAGTTCTTATTTTCTATTTCTTTGTAGTTAGAAATATTGTAACTACTTAGAAAACTAGACATTTCTCTTTGGAAGCATTGGGGGGAAGCACAGAACTTCAGGTTAATGCTTGAAACCTTTATTAGGTGGAAACTGTACCGTATCCCAGTTTCAAGAGCTCCCTCCCTTAGGACAATTCATGTTCTTTGAAGGAGAAGAGCAACAGAATCCGGGCTAGAGACGTAGGGCTAGAACTGCCCAAGGGACTGGAGAGGTAAGAGGGCAGGGCTGGGGAGAGTTGCATTAGAGCGGATGGTCACTAGAGGGCGCCGGAGCACCGGCGGAGTCCACCTCCAGGGACCATGCGCTGCCCT